GCCCCCCCCCCCCCCCCCAACTCCCTTAGCACCAGTTTTTATATTCAGCTTGATAAACATGGTTGTTTCAGAAAACCTTATTCATTACAGACGCATTTAGGCAATGGAGTATTGCTGAGGAAACCTAGTTACTTCCGTAAGGTTTGTGTACGATCCGAATCATTGCAAACAGTAGAATCCCTGACTTGCGATCATATGACTGTTTAGTGTGTGGGTCTGTCTCAGCATGGCAGTCGCACTGTATGAATTGATCCTCAATGGTTTTTAATGTTATGTGGATTCCTACTGTGTATCGTCCTGTTGCTTCCAAACGCAAATTCCATTTCTAAGCATCAGTTACATATAATGGATGAAATAAGACCCTGATTCTCCTCTATTGCTGAATTTAGGAAGCCAGTAAAGCACTTTACACAGGAAAGAAAGGGGACGTGGTCCCATGGGGGACAGAACATTCACCCAATTCTGGATGGACGAGGCAAACCACGCGGCGAAAACCGTAGTAATTCAAAATAACCAGGCGCCTATTATTGGAGCACAATTTGAAGCAGGGTAGATAATTAGCATCAGCTGGTCCTACTTAACGCTTTGGCGACCATGAGTCCCGTTGCCAGGACGCACGTTTTTGGCTCTCTGGAATATTTAAATTACTTATCAGGTGTTCCTATAATTTTTTCATGTTTTCATGTATCAGCTGAGCTCACAGCCTTCTAGAGAATCTTGAAGCATTGCGGTCCAGGTATCATTCATTTCTAACTACAGATATAAGAGAAAATAAAGGTTAATGTAAGGACAATATCAAAGCGCGGTCGCCAATGGGTTAACCAATCTACTTAAAACTTGTGCACCAATAATAGGCGCTAGAGTCGTTTAAATCAGCACGAATTTCGTCGCGCAGTTTGCCGCGTCCATTCAGAATACGGTGAATGTACCCACACCCTGGTCCCATAGGCGCACCACGTCGAAATGTGCATTGTCGTCAAAGGGGTAATGAGGTTGTGTGGGAATTACAATGGCCTTTTAGACTTTACACCGAGTCGCCTCGCACCCAACGCAAAGCAACTTAGTAAAGCCATTAGCTCATTGTAACTCGAGGGTGGATGATTATAAAGAGTTGCCCAACAGAGGCGCATTAATAGTAGGTGCGTTTTTAAGCAGACTAGTCCGTTTTTACGCAGACATTTGTGTAAGTCTGCAGAAAAACGCACCAGCCTACAGAGGAACGGAGATATCTGCATATTTCAGCGCAAAAATGGATTTGCCTGCAGGAGAACGCACCCAGGATGAATGCACCCACTACGCCGTATGGGCGGCGCCTACGTGGCAATCGAAGCCCGATCGCAGTGTATCTGCGAAGGGCAGCTGCAAACGTCACCCGCCTCGGAACGCATTAGTGAGTGTCAGACGACTAAGAGCCAGAGCTCAAAAGCTCAGACGTTGAGCGCGCTTCAAGGACGCCCATATCTGCTTTGGGACACACGTGCTATGGCCTGTGACCGTGGGAGTACGTTCCCGTAACCCTATCCAGAATTGAGTGAATGTTTCCACACCCATGACCTTGTTACCGTATAAGGCAAAATGTCTGCCATGGCTTGCGTCGATGACACATTATTTCACGCCAAGTTTGTTTCTTTTCACCCGGAGTTTGTGCAAATGGCCAATTTTCGCCTTTTTAGCCTATCTCCATCCCATTTGTTAAGAATGTATCTGTGATGTGTACATGAAGCGCTCGTGCTATTTTGTATGCTGCATCGTCGGCTCTTCGTTTATCGGATTATTTTTTTAGCTGAATACGAATGCAACCTGGACGAGCAAACGTTGGTGTGTCTCAGCCAAATGGGAGGTCTGTTTTTTTTTTCAAATTCAAATTTATTACGTGCAACTCACATGTAATAAAGCAAAACATCAGAAAAGAAGGAGAAAATATAAATAATTAAATTTCAAGGAACCAAAAGAAGAAAAACAGCTAAAGGCATGTGAAAAGAATAATAATGTGAATATCTGTTACAAGTAACAAAGAACTAATTAGCGAGGCAAAGATTTCGATCTAACAGCTTTTTGAAATCTGTAATAGAACACGGCATCGTACTCTTTTTGGTAATTTTCAATAAATCAGATCCAGCTCTAAATGTGAAGAAGTTGCGACTCAAAACGTGGTCTACGAAGCGAAATTTAAGTAATTGTCCCCTTGTTGATGATTGATATAATTCAAAGAAATCTCCAGAATTAAGAACAACTAAGTCATGGAGATCTGAAAACTACTGAAAGTTCATTCTTTTTTCGTCGGAGCTTAAGATAGTCAAAGTTTGTCAACCAACTTTTCGAAAAACGAAAAACTGTATTCATTCAGTATAAGAGGCTGCGCTTCCATTTGCAGTGTATGTTGGACATTGTTTCGTCTTAGCTTTTGTGCTCGGGTAAACTTTTTTGGGGATCCTCACCGGGCGTTAGGTATTCTGCTAGTCATGTGCTAGATCTGCATGACAAGAAGCCTAAGATATATTTCGATTTTACTTTGTTCAACCGGATTCATCTTATTAGCTGTCAGTTTCCCATGTGTTAACTCAACAGCAATTTAAACCGCTTCCCCATATAATGTTCTTTAAGAGGAATTCACCCGACAAATTTCAATTCCGAGAATTTCCGTGGTGCAGGGATGCGAAGACGTGCAGAGTGGAATCCGCCTAATCGGCCAAGCGAGAAATTTGTTCGAGTATGTTGCTTCTCGAATTCGAAGGTTCATCCAATTAGCGCAAGTTGAGAATGAATTCTTTTTAAGAATGATTTCACGAATCTTCCAACACGACCATCCGGTCTCTCTACTTCTTCGACGGGCTTCAATTTATCAAGTGGTGCTGCATTCACAGCTACGGAGAGGTATTCTAGTTATAGTGCTTTTCAAAAACCAATTTTTGAATATCCTTCTTTTAGGAGTGAACCAAACGTCTCGAGAAGACCACTGGGTGAAACATGGAGAACTTCCACCGAAAAATCAGGTATGCATTTACTGGTAGAGTTTTCCTTTTTACTTCTATTGTAGTTGCTTTTTGGAAATGTTTGTACCTCCCATTTTCTCAGGCTCTGATTCATGGCCAAAACGTGATGAACCAATATTCAGTCGAAGCGAAGGAAGGCAAGCAGACGTGATGAAGAGGTTCTGTCGCTTGATATTTTCTGGCTCATTTTCTCTAACAACTCTCTTGAAGTTCTTTCACGAGGCCAAACTCGTTGCTTTAGTCGCAACTCTAATCTTTCAATCCCATCATAAAGATCATCTTGAACAAACTTTACTGATAGCGAGCCATTTCTTATGCGTTTGGCTTAATCCATGTTTCACTGTTTGAAGTTCTGAGGCAGGTATCAGTAAAAAAAAAGGGCTCAATGCTAACAGATAAGTGCATATGTTTCATTCGCTAGTTGCTCAGAACAAAAATAAACATGAGAGACTTGTAAAGAAACGAAGGAAAAGTCTTAAATTCACATTGAGTGTTTTGCATGGGCTGTGCTATTGGAGAAACTTCTGATGTTGGGGCTCATCTGATTCTGTCTTTTTTTTGCGAAAAAATTGCGGAAGTATCGGCGTATTAGATTCATAAATAGGTTGAGACATATTCCAAGAATTACTCTCACTGTCATCTTTGTAATATTTCGGTGCTTTTAGCTTTGCTCTAATGATATGATTGGAAATCTGATGAACGTATTGCCTTCTGTTTCAGTGTAATAGCAGCCGTTCTTCCTAATAGCGGTCAGGTTCAAAAACCCCTTCCAAACGATATTTCATCGAAAACTGAAAGTCGCGTTTCTCAGGAAAAAATAGCAGGTACTTGTCCAGTAGCCGTAGTTTTGGCCTTTAGCAAATAGGAGAAATGGGTTTTTAGAACGCAGTAATCCTGTCGAGCAAGCCAAGCTAGAAAAAGAGCGAGAGGATCTGGAAAAAATAGCGCAAGTTAAGAGCGAGTTGGAGAGTATGAGGCGCGATGACAAAGTAAGTCAATGTTTTTCCGATCACTCGAATACCTTCGATTCACAGATTTTGCATTTCAGGAAGGATTCGAAATGCTCCTCAGAGTAGTGAAGGAAATGAACGATCCGAGAGGTGGATATGCAAGATCCTCTCTTTTCGCAAACGCATCGCCAGCCATAAAAAGTCTTTCGACGAACCAATTGTTTGTTTGTTTCCCTAGAGTTTTTAATTCTTCAAATCAATTCTTTTTCTCTCTTTTTTCTTAATTCTCTTTTCTAATCTTCTAAATTCTTGTTCATACATCTTAATCCCCTATACTTAGACTCACAAATTCCAAAAAAAAAAACACTGCAATGGTTTGAATGTTGCTGCAACTTCGGATTTTCAATTAGTTTCGTTGATGTTTTCAGCGTTCACGATTTCCCTGGTACTCCTCATTAGGCATATTAGAGTCTAAGGTGGACATAATTAACATTCAGTCAAGCGTAGCATGCCGATTAATGCCCTGTTTCACTCTCCACTATCGAATTTCTCTTTGGATTACCGATGGAGGCTCCGCAGCGCTCTGACTATTTGAAGATTCACAAGATGTTTGTGAAATGTCGAGCGACTAGGCAGGACATAGCCTCACGAGATGAATCTTCCCGAGATCGACGTGTAGTGACAGTTTTGTTTTTGCTCCAGGTGTGTTCATCTTCTCAGATGATCTTCGATGACTCTGATCCAATCCAACGAATTTTTCGAAGGCTTCTCTTAACGGCGTTGAATCGAGGTTGAATAACGAATGTAGTGGCGTCGTTTTCCTCTTGTTATCAGTGCATAGCGAGGTCAAGAAGAAATCTGTTTCATTAAAAGTCGTCTGAAGGCATAGATGCGGTTTTTTTTGTGATAGACTTCTATTTTCTCGAGTTAAATGGTTCTTCGGTCATATCTATGTCTTTGTCTAGAGTTTCCATGTTAGGCTATCTCAGCTGGTTTTGTCGATCCCTTCAATCGGTTCCGAGGGAATGAGCTGAATAGTGTGATTATACATTTTCTCCACCATGCTCTTCCCTTCGCTTCGGAAGTTCTTATGGGCGTTCTTACTATACTGGGTTTCAATAAATCTCGAGGAGACGTGATTTCCCAGATTTGTCAATGAATTTTGAAGGATCAAAGTATAGCTGTACAATTCACTGCAGTAGATTCGTAGATGGACCAAATTTCAAATCTTGTAAATATCTTGTGATCTTTTTCTTTTTCCAACACGTATCGCTGTTTTATTTGTGAGCTAGCCAGCTCACTTTTTTATTTCTGTTTTATTCAGGATTATGAGGGCTTTGTTCGGAGGGCCCGTCTCGACATCGAAAGCAAGTGGAAATCTTGAGTTTTCTCAGAGCAGTGATCCCAAGAATATTTTGCCGTCTAAGGATTCAGTACCTGCAGTCCCTATCAAATCAACAGATAGTGCAAATATCCCAGACACAAAAATACTTTCATCATCAGCCGCTCTCCCAGCTCCTGATCCACCTTGTCCATCCCAACCTCGCTGGGAGTCTTGGAGAAATCTTGGTAGTCGTGAACCCGGTAAACCATCGAACGAACCTGTTGCTCCGCCTAGTGACTCATGGAGAACTACAGCCAGCAGCTCCGCGAGTTCAGCCAGCTGGAGAAGCGATTCAAAGGTAACTCATATTTTCTGCTGTTTTGGCAGTTTTTGAAGTTTCTTGTGTTGTCGTTGTGTCGTCTACTTAAAAGCCACAAGACGCTCATAAACAACTTGCTATGCTCTTTCGGTGAGATCGTGAGATTGAATCCGTTCGATTTCGAGTGATAAATGACAAAATACATACCTCTCATTCATTTCGTATCTTTTTGGCTTTACAGCTTCTCCTCTATGTCCGTTTGTTCTAAATTCCACCGTAACAACATTATATTAAAGTTGAATTTTCTCTTACAATTGATTTTCCTTCTGCCATGAGTAATGGATCACTTGTTCAGCGCTTAGTGCTACTCCTTTCCATTTGCTATGAACTGACAACACAGCAGTAGGCGATATGGACTCATCCCTTAGCTGTCCTCTTCATAGCCAAGAATATAATTTTTTCTATTATGTCAATAGCTAAACGTCGATTTTGCGAAGTTTCTATTCGTCCATCGTCGTGTCCCGTCGGCGGGCCTCAATCTTTCGTTGCTGTGCGGTGATCTGAGAAACTACTTTGGAATATTACTTTGTTCTCCTCTATTCTTTTTTATCGTTTATTATGTTTCCTCTCCATATTCCGTCTTACAGTCTTCGAAAGTTTGGCCGTTACGTTGTATAGTTTCTTCACTTTCTCACAATAGACTAGGGTATACTGGTTCATTTTTTTACCCGTTAATTAACATATTATGTCTACTAAACCGAATGCGTGGGCGCATTGCTCGGACGGGTTTGATTAACGCCCAAGGCTTTATCCTTTATTACATCTTTTAGAGCCAACATTGAGTTTTGCAGACTGTTCCGAATAGTAGTCCATTAAAAAAAGGACAGCCATGGGAAAGTCAGCCCTCAGTAGGAGCTGATAGATTCAGACCACAGCAGACTATGATCTCGGATTCCTTTATTAGGTGGGTTCTCTAGAAGGAAACAAGTAATTCTTCACATGATTCTTGCAAAAACTACCTTTTAGATCTCGAGCAAATGATCGTGGACAATTTATGAATAGGCCGTTGAGACGATGGTAGCCATCGGATAACAGTTTGCCCATTTTTTGAAATTTTGTGTTGAATATTTCCGCTTTGAATATTTTGTCCATCATAGCTGTGTTATCGATTCTCTACGCTAGTTTCTCTTATTACTTATTTGAATAAATATGAATGGACCTCTTCTCTGTTCTTTTCTACTCTTGCTGTAATTGCAGTGTTCCATCTAAATTTGATCAAATAGTTGAAGTTGCACTCACACTCCGCGACACCAGAAACGCTACCTTTCGGTGTTCTTCCTCTGCGTTTGGATGATTCATGGAAATTGTTCATCGAAAGTGACGTTGATCCAGACAATATGCTATATTATTTGCTGTATGGTAGTGTTACAATCAGTAAAATAACCACTTTAACAAACAAAAACAACACAACACAAATAACTACAAAAAGAACATCTAACGGCGTTGGATACTGATGCTGAAAAAAAGATTCATACGAGAAATGTAAGGCTCAGAAACTCGAAACTCACACGTTTAAACTCCTAAAATAGATATAAATTATGCGAAAGCGTAAACTGCAGCAATTCAGCCTCTGAAGACAAACTCCCTCCGAAACGATTTTCCCTTAGATTTTATTTGCAGTAGGGGTATCGGTGCTACATTCTGGTCGAAGAGCCCTAATCGCTCTGGCCGTGAGTGGTCTGCTATTTGATACTGATCCTGCCTAAACGATAAATTTAGTCAAACATCGACTGGCTCACAAGAGATCTAGGCCTAATACGCTCGAAATTCCTCTACAACTTCTGACAACGTTGAAGTTGTAGAGGAACTTCGAAGTTGCAGTTCAATAGAGTAACGTTCGCTCATCCGGGCCACGGTCAGGAGGAAGTTTTTATTATTAGGTTGTCGGAAAAGTATTTGCGCATTTTGGTTTCCATATTGTGAAATCTTTGGGGATTGCTCTAGAATCTTCACTGCGGAATATGTGTAAGTGCAGGTCAATGCGCTCTCCACAGCACATCTGCCGTAGCATTTCGCAACGGTTATGGGTGCAAGAATCGCTCTCGACCCAAAGCGAGTCAAACTGACTTCGCTTTATAAGTTCAGAATAAAACGTTAATCCAAATTGAGCGACAGGGGGAATATGCGGTGCGATAGGACCTTTTATTGTCTCTAATAGCACATCAGGACGTTGGTACAAGAAGTTCAAAAATGGCCTTTTTGACTGGACCAAAGAATCACGGTCTAGGAGACAAGCTGAGCTCAATGATGACTATCTCCTGAAGCTGGTTGAAGATGATTCCAGGTTTAGTACCCATGAGCTGAAACAGGTGCTCATAGCCATCACGACACAACAGCTCTCCATTTGCATTGCCTTGGAGAGACATGGAGATTCGGAGATATGGATAAGTTTTGATCTAGGTGGTCACGACCTTCAAATAAAGAGGGGTTCATGCCTAAACTTGATGAATTTCCGACACACCTTCGCATGGCTGGAAGACTTAATCACTGGCGACGAGAAGTGTGTTCCCTACATAAACCACACGAGGAAGCGCCAGCGGCTTAGATGCGTAGAGCATGGAATCCCGACCACCAATCCAGATTTCCTACCTCCGAAGGCGGCAATGCAAGCGTTTGAAGCCATTCAACAGGATCG